TGAAATTTGCCATTATTGTGTTTTTTTTTAATGTAAGATTTATTCTCGTTCTTTTATTTATATATATATATATATATAAATTAGTTTCTTCCCCCCCATTTTAAGAGTGCATAATAACGCACATAGACTTTAGCCAAAAGAAATATAATAATTGCTTATTATAATATGATTATCATAATAATAACTTATGATTGTATAATTATTATAACTAATTAATAAGAAATTTCTTTTTTTTTTCAATGTGCATTAATAAAAAGGTATACAGTCAAAAGTCGTTAATCTGGACTCGTCGGGACTTAGACGATTCCAGATTATCGATTTATCCGGATTATAGATCGTCAGTTTAAATCTGGTAAGATGGCATGCAGAAATTATAAAATTAAAAATATGAAACCATAATTTATGAAATAAAGAACAATTATGATCTAAAGGGTATCAAAATTTACGAAAAAAAAGCTTAATATTTATTTGTTTACTTTATTAAACATTTCTTTCAATGTAAGTTGTTTAAGTTGCTTCGTTTTTTATGTGATAATACATTCTCTTTAATTCTATAAACAGACATAATTTCTTGTTCAGTTACAAAATTCCGCTGTTCAAGTCCTATAATTGCTGTGTCTACCGACTAATTTGTCAATCGAAATTTTTTCGTTTTCAATAACCTCTGTTACTTTTTTCGCTATCGGAAGCGAATTATAATGACGAGGAATTTGATTTAAATCATATCAAAGACGGAGTACATCGAGATGAAATACTACATTTAGTAAGGAATTATAAGCCAAATAAAATAAAAGCATCTGCCTGAAGATAAGGATAGTGCTGACAGATCAATTTCCAATTCATTGCGCGCCGCGGCGTTAACGATAAACAAAGTTTAGATAAACAAAGTATATATCTTTATCCATTTTTGTAGCAATTCCACTTTTTGTTTAATGAACTTCGAAACATACTTTCGCTTTGTAGATCCTTTACATATTAATAAATATATATCAGAAATTCTATTTGACACAATCGAAAGTTCAAGCTTACTTTTATAAAATTGCTCTAACAGTCTGCAAAAAATAATAAGCCGGATCCAATTCGAAGATTAAGGAACAACGCAATCTGCAACATTAACTGAAATAAATAATTAGATAATTTTAGCTTAGCTTATACCATCCGTTATACATTAAACGCGCACTCGTAAACGTATTTTGCGCACGCGCACAAGCATATTCGCAGCCGTAAAGGTCTTACGTGCATGCTTCAACGCGACGCATGCGCAGAACGTTTGTAGCTTTGAGGTCCGGATTATAGATCATTCCGGGTTATGGGTGTCCGAATTAACGACTTTTGACTGTATAATAATTATTACCGTATTTGACGGCATATAAGACGTGCTTTTTTTCCTAAATTTAGTCTCAAAAAAGTTACCTGTGTCTTATACGTGAAGGACACAGTCCTATACGTAAAGGTAATTGCACTCGATAATTGTTTATTTGGCTTTTACGAAACGTGAGAAGTAAAAGAAACCACGCTATTGAAACTTTTTTTCCTTGTATGTGGCTGTCTAAATAAGAGTGTGTCTTATATGATGTCAAATACGGTAATTGTAGCATTATTATAGTAATTATTTAATATCATAAAATTATTATAAAATGTTATGTAGTCAAACAGTTAACTGCAAATGATGACAGGATAGTACCTTAGATTATTTAAAAGCAATTTTCTGGCTCCTTAAATCTATGCTCTTTCAACATGGTAAAAACATCAATAAATCTGTCCGAAGGACACATGCATGTTTGTGCTCATGATCGGGGCCAGTGCAGTTAAATTGTAATAGCTCATATGAAACATGTTGAATACTGGAATTCAAGTTCCTATACAGTCAAAAGTCTTTAATCCGGACTCGTCGGGACTTCGGCGATTCCGGATTAACGATTTTCCGGATTATAGATCATCAGTTTAAATCTGGTAAGATGGCATGCAGAAATTATAAAATTAAAAATATGAAACCGTAATTTATAAAATAATGAGCAATTATGATCTAAAGGGTATCAAAATTTACAAAAAAAGAAGCTTAATATTTATTTGTTTACTTTATTAAACATTTCTTTCAACGCGCGCATGCGTAAAGCATACCTTACGCATAGCCGAAATTAGAAAATTGCAACCAGAAACTATTTGATTTGTATTCGTGATATTCATAATGACGAGGAATTTGATTAAAATCATATCAAAGACGGAGTACATCGAGATTAAATACTACATTTAGTTAGGAATTATAAGCCGAATAAAATAAAAAACATCTGCTCTGAAGATAACGATAGTGCTGACAGATCAACTTCCAGTTCATTGCACTCCGCGACGTGCCCCCCCCCCCCCCGCGCAGAGCAGCGTGAAATTGATAAACAGATTTCGGAACGGTTAGATAAACAAAGGATATACCTTTATCCATTTTTTGTAGCAATTCGTTTTTTGTTTGATGGACATCGAAACATACTTTGGTTTTCTAGATCCTTTGGGAGCTCCAGCATCGGAAATTCTATTTGACATAATCGAAAAGTTCGGTTAAAATGCGGTTTAGCCCACTGCTTGGCGATTGTTTTTCAATGGGCAATAAACGCACCAACATGGCTAACCCGATGTTTTGAAGCAGTGTTGTTATTCTGTTGCCACTAAATGTTATCGCCCTGTGTTATATTTAAAGAAATTAAATATTGAAAAATCTGCATAAATGTTTCTCGCATTGTGATAAAACAACGGTACCTAGAGCCATCAAATTTTGAATAACATACGTTTCCAACCTAATATGGGTATCTGGAAGCCCAAACTTGGAATTTTTTTTTTATTATCTGATTGATATTTTGTAAAACTTGAACGAATTTTTGATTAGCAAACTCAAAGATTTCAAAGCGAGCAACGGCAACACAGTGCGGGGAAAAAAAACATTTTTACGTGCATCGGAAATTCTAAAGACATGCTCATTTTAAAATTATATTGCGGTATTGCTGTTGAACTGAATTTTATGGTTTAAGTGTAAAGAACAGTATATTTGATAAAGAAAGGTAACACACAAAACGTTAAAAAAAAAAAAAAAAAAAAAAAAAAAAAAAAAAAAAAAAAAACGCCCCTTTGGGCGTAATGTAAAATCTAAAAGCTTTCATTTTTTTAAATTTATTTATTTATTTATTTTTATTTTTACTTGTTAATTCTGTTGCGGTTTGAATATTCTTATGCGGTGGTTCTTTTTTTAATCGAGTGTTTTCCCCCCTGTGGGTTTTAGCCTTTTTTCTGCATATATTACGGAAACGGCGTATAAAACGTTAGTAAATTTATTTAAAGATGAGGAGGGATCCAAAAGGGTTTTCCCCTGAGATAAATTCATATATATAAAACCCCTCTAAAAGACTACATTTTTCTTTAAAAGGGTAAGTGAAAAAATTTTTCTTGTATGGTTCGTTTTAAAGTTGCTTATTTTTAATATTTTGTATTTCTTTTTGGCTCAGTCCTAGAAGATTGGAAAAGCTGACGTTGTGCTATTCTCTGATGTTTTTTTAATGAAAATAGATCGATATGTACATGGGCAAAGCCAATGCAGTGCTCAATGCCGACGTTGTGCGCGATGCCGAGTTTGTGCAATTCTGGGATGTTTTTTTGAAGTGAAAATAGATCGATGTGCACATGGGCAAAGCCAGTGTAGTGCGCAATGCCGAGGTTTTGCGCTATGTCGAGTTTGTGCAATTCTGGGATGTTTTTTTAAGTGAAAATAGATCGATGTGCACATGGGCAAAGCCAATGTGGCGCGCAATGCCGAGTTTGTGCAATTCTGGGATGTTTTTTTAAGTGAAAATGGATCAATGTGCACATGGGCAAAGCCAATGTGGTGCGCAATGCCGAGGTTGTGTGGGATGCCGAGTTTGTGCAATTCTGGGATGTTTTTTTAAGTGAAAATAGATCGATGTGCACATGGGCAAAGCCAATGTGGTGCGCAATGCCGAGGTTGTGTGCGATGCCGAGTTTGTGCAATTCTGGGATGTTTTTTTAAGAAAATAGTGAAAAGCAGAGCAAATAGATCGATGTATTTTTTTAAGTGAGAATAGATCACATGGGCAAAGCCAATGTGGTGCGCAATGCCGAGGTTGTGCACGATGCCGAGTTTGTGCAATTCTGGGATGTTTTTTTAAGTGAAAATAGATCGATGTGTATATGGGAAAAGCCAATGTGGCGCGCAATGCCGAGTTTGTGCAATTCTCTAATGTTTTCTAAGTAAAAATAGATCGACTTGCACATGGACAAAGCCAAGGCAGTGCACAATGCCAAGTTTGTGTAATTATCGGAATTTTTTAATCTTATTTAATTGACTTCAAATTGTATAGCAGGCTTTTCTATACACTGTTTCTGGTATGCATAGTGATTGATATCTCTTTAAGAAAATATGTATGCACGCAAATAAATTTTAACAAATGAAACCTTCGCATGAATCATGCATTTTGCGAGAAATAAACTTCCATGTTTGAATGAAAATGTTGTAAATTTCTACGAGGTTTAAACCTCTCGCATTTGTTGTGAATTACACGTAGCGTTTAAGCGAAACTAATGGTATTTTGTGTTTTAAACTTAAATTTCAGATTTTATTTTGTTTTTTAATTTCATTATATTTGTTGTCTTTTTTTTAATTTACTATCGTTGACAATATTACTTATCGTAGCTTTAGATATCGAAAAGCCATGGCTTCACAGCGTTTTTTAATAACTAGATACAAATAAATTTCTTCGGAGAGAGCACAAATGTCCGAAGACAAATTGTCAAGTAGCAGACGATAATTTATGTTTTCAAAAATATATACTTGCAGTTAAAAAGAATTTCCAAGCAGACGATTTCTCTTGGAATTTTTACTTCGTAATTTACACAGTTAATTCAGTTGCCGTTTGAATGTTATTTGGTAGTTATCAATCGAGTGGTTTTATCTGTGTGTTTTTAACATTTTTCTGCATATATTTCGTTAAATAACAGTCGTTATGGGTTTATCTGTGATGCTGAGAGAGGTGAGTGATTGTACATGTAAATTTATTACTTTATTGGAAGTGCAAGGGAAACGTGCCGTCATTGAATGGTGTATGAAAGTTGGTTTGATTGCTACTTTTTTTGTTTGTTCGAAATGTGGTGAAAATATGCGTTTTTGTGAGAGAAAGGGAAGTATAGATGGATTTGAATGGCGATGTAGAAAGCAAGGAAAAGTGAATGCGCATGATGTTTGTAGGAGTATTAGGAAAGGTTCATGGTTTAGTCATAGCCATTTGAGTATATGTGATATTTTGAGAATTACGAGGTGTTGGTTTTTGAAAATGGGAAATGAATCTGTGATTCAAGAAGTGAAAGTGCATGAACATGCTGTTGTTGATTGGTTTATGTTTTGCAGAGAAGTGTGTATGACGACTGTGATAAATGATGATAGTGTTCCAATTGGTGCTGAAGGAGTAATAGTTGAAGTCATGGAGGTAGGAAGTAAGATGGAGTCGCCCTAAACAAGTTTTTCCGTACCCTGCTCTGAAGCACCGGCGATCCCTACGTGGTGACCAAAACATTGGGTCATTTACCATTGAGTTCTATGGGATTTGACGCGTTCGGGTGTAAATATTTTGTAATTACGTCGCAAATATACATATAAATGTATATATTGTCTTTTTCTACAACACTTCAGAGTCCTAAGTATGTGAAAACAACATATTTTTAAACAAACATTTCATTCTGAACGGAATTAAATGCTATACTTTTCACAGGACAGTTTTCTCAGAATGGTTTTTAATTTGAATGAAATATTTTCACAAGTTTTCGTTAATTACATTAGAAAAAAAAAATTAAGGTAATTCGATTTTATTCGGTTAAGGTACAAAAATTAAGATCAAAGTTTATTGTATTATTAATATTAAAATTATGCATTATTTCTTTTCTATTTATAGAGCTTCTTCCTAAAATACTTTCTTAAATATGACATGATTTTTTGGCTTCTTTTAAATCGAAAAATGTAAGTCAATTTATAATTAATGCTCTATTCGGTTCATTTTAAATTACAGAATTATTAGGAATTAGCGAAATACTTTAAATAAGTATTTCGCTAATTCCTACTAATTAAATAGGTATTAAATAGTATTTGACTTTCTATGAAAATTTTTGAAAGGGAATAATTTTTTTTTTTTTTTTTTTTTTTTTTTTTTTTTTTTTTTAAGTATTATTTAAAACTTGTAACTGAGTTATTATAAAATGTAAAGGGAATAATTCTTTTAATTATACTTATCAGATTTTTTTTTTACCCTTCATTTCAACAATACATATTCCAAAACTCTTTATTACGTTCTTAAGTGCGCATCTCATAGCATTTGCTTTACAATACCTTTTAACAGATTCCTGTCCAATACGAACAATTCTTGCTTAAATAGTTTTTTATAACGTATTTGTCAACAGGATTTCAATTTATGTTTACAATTCAATATTAAGGTTATTATATATTTAGATAACATTTATAATCATTATAAATTAGATACATTTAATCATTAGATTTCTTCACAGTACTTTCACAGTTGTTTATAAGTGAATAAATTCTTTATTTCAAATACATTTATAAATAATTTAAATGAATATTTAAGTATTTTGTCAAAGGCAGATACATGCTTTTTGCAAGCACATGCATAAATACCCATACATATTTTCCTATTTATCATTTCCGGCATGTGCAAATCTTTAATTTCTGTGCATTCACTATATTTTTCGTGTAAAATAATTTACACTAATTTAGCATACAGTAGTTTTACATAAAAAATATATATGAATATAATTTGAATGAAAATTATAAGTATTATTTTTAATACCCACTCAAAGGTCAGTTTTTCTTCAAAATTCCTCCACGATGGCATCTCTCTCTTTAGGCAGATAGCCCTTGCATGCGTTACTCTATTTAATAAAAACTTAATCTGACCTATGTGCCTAATTAGAAATATTTTAACATACATCTTGTCAAGCGAGCTTCTGAATGTAAACAAAGAACACCCCGTCTGGTGACCCAAGCTTCAAAGCAGTGCTTCACTTCTAGCGCGAAATGGCCCCTCCTCCCTTTCCTACCTCCATGGTTGAAGTGGACGAAAGCAAATTCGGGAAAATGAAGTATGGAAGAGGGAAGCCTGTGGACGGTCATTGGGTAATTGGTGGTATAGAGAGAGGAACGAACAGATGTTTTTTTAGAGAGGTTGAGAATAGATCAAAGGAGAGTTTGGAGAGAGTGATAGTTGAATGGGTGTTGCCGGGATCAACTGTGGTTTCAGACTGCTGGAAGGCATATGGTGGACTAAAAAATTTAGGTTATAGCCATCTATCTGACTGTCAACCACAGTCTGTACTTCCGTGATCCCGAGTCGGGTGCGCACACTAATTCCATAGAAGGTACCTGGTCTGGAATCAAACGTCATTTACGTCGAAATACAAACCACGTAGATGGCGAATTTGATTCATATTTAGCGGAATATATGTGGCGAAAATGGCACAACCACTCACTAAGTGATGAACATTATCGTCCCTTTTTAGCGGCAATCATAAAGATTTATCCGCCGGAAACGGCCGATAAAACTGAGTAAATTTTCTTAAAGACGGGGTTTAGGGAGGTTTTCCTCCGACATAAATAAAAAAAAAAAAATCATCCTAACTCTAATGTTGTTGAATTATTAAAACAAATAAAACAAAATCTGAAATGTTTCAGATTTTAAATTACGTCCAAAGGGGCGTTTTTTAACATTTTGTGTGTTACCTTTCTTTATTAAATATCATGTTCCTCGCACTTAAACCATAAGATCCAGTGCAACAGCAATATCGCAAAATAGTTTTAAAACGAGCATTATCTTTAGAATTTCCGATACAGAGACTCACGCGCTGGAGATAAAAATGTTTTTTCTGCACAACGTTGCCATTGCTCGCTTTGAAATCCTTGAGTTTGTTAATCAAAAATTCGTCAAAGTTTTAAAAATAGGAAATCGATCATAAAACAAATTTCAAATTTCAAATTTGGTCTTCCACATGCTCATATTCGTTGGAGGATTACGTTATTCAAAATTCGATGACTCTGTGTACCGTTGTTTTATCACAATACGAGAAATATACATACATTTATGCAGATTTTTCATTATTTAATTTCTTCAAATATAATGCAGGACTCTAACATTTTGTGGCAACAGTTGGAAAAGTGAACCGACATTTATGAGTCCGACGCAAAATGCCAAAACGAAACTAATAGTCCTTCGGGATTCAAAAAAAAAAAAAAAAAAAAAAAAAAATCCTCAAAAAGACTTTTTATTTTCCTGAAAAGGGTAAGTGAAAATATTTTTTCTTTTTAAAATTGCTTATTTTTAATATTTTCTAATTTTCTTTCACTGTGAGAAATTAGATTTTTTAAATGTATTAATGTGTAGAATTCTAATACGAGAGTATAGGACGTGGTTTAGGAACTTAAGAAACAGGGAAATGAAAGCTGTGTATGATGTTAATATTCAATCATAAATATTTTTCTTTTTTATTAATGTAAAGCTTAAAAGTTTTTAGCAAATAATGAAGATTGTTTACTTACTAGTATGTAAGAGATGGTGTCGTTACGTAGCAATAAGGTAATTTTGTAAAGATGATAAGTTAAAATGTTCCGCAATATGAAATTAAAATTTAAAAAAATCTGTTTTTATTTGTATAAATACTAAAGCTTAAAAATATTCACCCTGTATGAGAGACTGCGACGTTGTTTACAGTTTTAATAATTGTTACAATTCACTTACCGTATTATAGTAGTTTGAAATACAAAAAATTTAGTATACTTATTTCTACATCTGTAGAGAATACATTGTGACGTCACAATCTTAGTCCCACCCATTTATGAACGTCACATAGCTCCGCCTTCGCAACTTTGTTTATGCAACGTATTCTGATATTTTACTGGCGATTTTCAAAAAATCGCCGCTGCTGAAAATCGCCAAGCAGGGGCCTAAAGCACATTTTCACCGAAAGTTCAAGCTCACTTTTATAAAATTGCTCTTACAGTCTGCAAAAAATAATAAGCCGGATCCAATTCGAAGATTAAGGAACAACGCAATCATCAACATTAACTGAAATAGATAATTAGATAATTTTAGCTTATACCGTCCGTTATACGTTAAACGCGCACGCGAAAACGTATTCTGCGCTTGCGCAGTCGCAAATGTATTGCGCGCATGCGTAAAACGCCTATGAGTACGCGTCAACGCGGCGCATGCGCAGAAAGATTTTAGCTTTGAGGTCCGGATTATGGGTGTCAATTAACGACTTTTGACTGTATTTAATGTTTTGCCATAGAATTCAATGCTCAGCAGTGTATCATGAATTGACATGTTATTGAAATGTAAAGTGCAGTGGTATGTTGTAAATATTGAAAGAATGAAGTGTGTATTTACTACGAATAGATAAGAAATTTAGAACCTAATCCACAAGGGCAAAAATAAAATTCAAAATCCAAAATTCCCAGTAAATACATGGATTTTACTGGTTTTGAATTATATTTCTTGCGTGCCATTGTGGTTTAGGTTCTAAATTTATTTCTTACCTATAACTGATTTACTATGAGTAGTATATATATGATATGTATTCTGCGCTTGAATATATATAGACATGTGATATAAAATTTCATTATTTTTTATAGCAACTCTTAGAACAATTGAATTGACCAATAAAATGGCTGACAATGGAGCCAATGCTGCTCTTGTTATTTCACCATTTTTCTATAAAGGTCGAATGAATGATGATGCTTTATATGATCATTACATAAAGGTTTGTATTTTTAGTGTTCTGGTTTCTGTTAGGTCATCATGTAATTTTGCATTTGTTAAAAGTAAACAAATTCTTTATGCTTCAATTGCAAAATGTTGTAAATTTTTTTTTAATGCTTGTTCAGTTACTATCCAAGTAAAGTGAAGTAAAAAATTCAGAATTGATGTGCAGCATAAACCATTTTTTTATCTGACAAAGTATTTCTTTCATAATATAATCAATCTGTTGAAAAATACATCTATTTCACTTGAGTATTGATAGCAAATTGTATTTATTTTCTCATGATTAGAAATGTTAAATATTTTCTTTTACTGAAATATAATAATTCATAATTCTTTTCTCTTATGGTCTAAAACTTTTCTTATATTATTCAGTTATAGTTTTTAAAATTGTTAAAATAATAATATTGCTGATTTTACGTGCATATAATAAAAATGACCTCGTGCTAGTTTGAAAATTTGTAAAATGCTAATCAAATTGCATTAATTTTAATTGCTCTTTTATGAAGTTTTAGAAATAATTAAAATTATCTGCCACAAATATAAAAATAAAGGTAATTTGTGATTATCTGCACCTATTTAGACTCATTTTCCAGCAAGCTAATATCTAAAAGGCATTAGCCATTTTCAAAATAGTTCACGCTAAGAATTCCATAAAAGAGTAATGAATTAATAAAATTAAAAAAGGAAGAAATATTATCAATAGAATTGTTATCTTTTTCAAGAAATCCCCATGTTTTTTCCCCCTCAAGTACACTATGAATCTGTTTTCACTTAAAAAAAAAAAAAAAAAAAAAAAAAAAAAAAAAGGAGAATTGCACAACTTCAGCATCTTAACTAATTTCGAATCATAAAATTTGATTGTTCAAGACTATAACTTTATGGAATTTAAATTTATGCATTCTGTACTATTGGGCAGAACACCATATTTCTGAAGAAATGCAATGCTTTCTTTTTCATCACCTGGCAAACTTCACAGACCCATTACAATTCCTCACAAGAAAAAGAAAAAAAAAAAAAAAGATGTGCTTAATGTAAAAACAAACAGGAATCAGTAGAATGACCGTGGAATTTGAAGGTGGAAATACACACCTATCTGCAGCCTGTGCATGCATACCTGGGTTGCTACATAAATCATTTTGGCGATGTCATAAGTTGCCTATTTTAGTGACATAGAGGTTGCCTCATGAATATCTGTCAAGGGGTGTGGATAATCAGAAAGAACTGAAATAAAATTTCATTCTGTAAACACAGAAAAACTTTTATCTCATGTTTTTAACATACCTGATTCTCTGTTGGATATGAGTGTTTACTTCATTTCTTAAATTTTAATTAATTTATTGTAAATACAAAAATATAATTTTTTATGCTTCTCTTATTGCATAAGAAAGAACCCAAGCTTTCAAAATTGCTTAAGTCATGTTTATAATATATAGAGCTTCAGTTTTTTTCAAAATACGCATTTAGTGATTGATTGTACACATCCTGAAGTGTGGTTCTGCCACATCTATAAATTGTTATTCTTTCTATGATATATACTAAATCATGCAAGTGACATCATATGATTTCCTTATGAAATCAGATGGGGCCATTAAACAGATGAAACATCTTTCTGCTGTGATTGGCTACACAACTATATTAAATATATACAAGAAATCTGCCTAATTTATATTTTTAAAAGAGCTGCTTTTGTAATCTATAAAAATTTCAAGATGTTATGAACCATAGGCTTCCAAATATCAGAATTTTAAAATGACGATCTTAAAAAAATTGACTGATTTAAAAGTATCATTTAAAAAAAAAATTCTGTCATATGTTTCATAATGTAGTGATAAATTTTTCATTGTTAGCTAAATTTTGAAAAATTCTTTTCAGATACACGTGAACCTCTTCTAGGAAAGAAGATTAGCTAGCATGCACATTAGATTAGTCTATGAAATAGCTTTATATCCATAGCTGTTTCATAGTTGTGGATCTTTATGTCTGTGTGCTAATTAATATAGAGATAAACTGTTTATTTTATGAATATAAATTTCAAAAAAATATTTGCTTCTATTTTATGAAAATGTAGTAAAAATTATTACATTTTCATATAAATATATCTGGAAATAAGAAAAGTTTATGAATTTATTGTTTAGCTTTAAATATATCAAATTATGTATCTAATTATAAACATATGAAGATAACTGAAAATAAGAAACACGGTTTTTATTTTTATGTGATTTATATTATTTTATGTGATTATACTATTATTTTATATGATTTTTATTATTTAATGTGATTTATTTGCTTCAGTAGCTACTGTGCATTTGATTCAGTTTGTCTCATTTAAATGCTTATCTATGTATTCAATTCTTGCAGTACTTGTAGAACGGATTTAATGTTGCTGTCAAATGATTTGTAAAAATTAGTTAAAGGAAAGAATTATAAAACATGAAGTAATTTTTTTTTTTAAAGAACCATTTTTCTTATAAGAGAATATAATTTTATGCTTAGAAAGTTATTTGGACATATTTTAACAAAATAGAGGAAATATCTTCTGTTTGTTAAGCAAACCTAAAGAGCATAGATATTCATATAAAATATATGCTTATCTTTTAAATAATTTTGAACCAATAGTTTGTTGCTTTGTTTCTTATTGTATGTTGGTTCATTATATAAACAGCTAATTTCTCATTTTTAATTAAGTACAAATTGTATTTGTATGATTTTTGTACATAGACTAAATTTTAAAGCTTGTTTTCTTTCGTCTAGGTGGCAGATGGTTCTAAAATACCTATAATTTTATATAGTGTCCCTGCCAATACAAATTTAGATTTAAGTTCATCACTAGTTGCAAAACTTGCAGAACATCCAAATATAATAGGTATGAAAGACAGTGGAGGCGATGTAAGTGTAAATTATTTAATCTTAGTTTTTCTTTGATGTTCTTATTTTTAGAAGGATTTATACAGTGCAAAGTTCGAGATCCGGACGTCCAATATCCGGAATGATTTTAAACTTTACACATGCACATTTGATTTTTTTCCCCGTCAAAAAGCATGTGGAGAATCCTGATTCTTAATTTCGCTTCGATGTTGAATAAAATACCTTGTTATTGAAGAAACAATCATTTTAACATAAATTTGTGTGATCCATAATTTGGCTCCGTAGCTGCGTATTTGCTTTTCCAATTAATGGATTTTGTAAAGAAATATGGAGAAGCATAATAAATAAAGATGAAATAGCAGAAGTTTTTCATTGTGATGGCAATGTTCCAATCATCAATCAATTAACGGACAGTGAAATCTGTAATATGGTTCTAGATCCAGAAAATACAGTTATCGATAGTGAAAAAAGTGACGAGAGGTGATTGAAAACGAAAAAATTTCGATTGGCAAGTTATTCGGAATTCTCGATACACCAACTGCAGGACTTAAACAGTGCTGAAGGCAAAGCAGAAAAAATGAAGCAACTTAAACAATTTACATATAGAGAAATGTTTAATAAAGTAAACAGATAAATATCAAGCTCTCTCTCTTTTTTTTTTTTTTTTAATTTGGATACCCTTTAGATCATAAATGCTTCATTATTTCATAAATCACGATTTCATATTTTTAATTTTTATAATTTCTGCATGCTATCTCACTAGATTTAAACTGGTGATTTAATACAGTCAAAAGTGATTAATCCGGACTCGTCGGGACTTCGGCGATTCCGGATTATCGATTTTTCCGTGTTATAGATCATCAGTTTAAATCTCGTAAGATGGCATGCAGAAATTCTAAAATTAAAAATATGAAACCGTAATTTATGAAATAAAGAACAATTATGTTATAAAGGGTATCAAAATTTACAAAAAAAAAAAAAAAAAAAAAAAAAACTTAATATTATTTGTTTTACTTTATTAAACATTTCTTTCAATGTAAGTTGTTTATTAATTTGCTTCGTTTTCTGTGATAATACTTTCTCTTTAATTCTATATAAACAGACATAATTTCTTGTTCAGTTACAAAGTTCCGCTGTTCAAGTCCCATAATTGCTGTGCCGAGAATACCGACTAACTTCTCAATCGAAATTTTTTCGTTTTCACTAACCTCTCTGTCACCTTCTTCATGTCTTTATCCATTTTTTGCAGCAATTCCACTTTTTGTTTGATGGACATCGAAACATACTTTCGTTTTGTAGACCCTTTGGGAGCTCCAGCATCGAAAATTCTATTTGACATAATCGAAAGTTCAAGTTTACTTTTATAAAATTACTCTTACAGTCTGCAAAAATAATAAGCCGGATCCAGCTCAAAGATTAAGGATTAACACAATCATCAACATTAACTGAAATAGATAATGTTAGCTTGTACCGTCCGTTATACATAAAACGCGCACGCGAAAACGTATTCTGCGCTTGCGCACACGTAAAGGTCGTAAAGGTCAGTTGCGCGGTCATAAAGGTCTTACGCGTGCACGTAAACACCTATGCGCATGTGTAGAAAGTTTTTAGCTTTGAGGTCCGAATTAACGACTTTTGACTGTATCCGGAAAAATCCCAAATCCGGAATCCTGGTGAGTCCAGATCTCAGACTTTGTGCTCTACTATATTTCAATGTGATGCTGTTAATTTGATTCAGTATGTATTAATTCCTTCTTTGCGGTGCTAACTGTTTTTAATTCTTATTCTTATCTTATTATGGAGTAAGGTTCTAAATGGAGATCTTATTAAAGTGAAACATTTAAGTATTTTATATAGCATTAAATATTTTAAATTTTTATTCCACTAACATCTAATCTGTAAAAATGTTAATATAAATGGCTTTTTTTGTGATTTTTTTTAAATATATATAGGAAAAATGTGTTCAACTTTTTGATGTAAGAGCATGAAAAGTAATAATTAAAGAGGCATTTGTTAAAAAAAAATTACAAAACTGTAATGAATTTCTTTATCCTTTAAAGTCTGTTTCTAATTGATATTAGATAAAATCCAAAGTGCAAATATTATATTCTGTCATTGCATTCCAAGTATATTACTACTATTAGAAGTGAAATATAAATTTCTATGCATACTGTTATGTTTTTGTATTTTGTTTATTTTCATGTAGTTTTAATTTCATTTCAATTCATTTATTTTAGATAACAAAAATTGCCCACATTGTTCATAAGACAAAAACTAAAGATTTTCAAGTCTTAGCTGGTTCTGCTAGTTTCTTATATCCTGCACTTTGTGTAGGTAAGATTTTAAAATTTTATTATTTCTATCTATGAAATGTTACTATATTCGTGGATTATGTTCCTCTATGAAGCGGTTTGCTTAAATGAAATTCTGTGAACGATAATTAGTAGAAAAGAAATGTATGTGAAAAAATTTAAAAAAAAAAAAAAAAACAAAAACTTTTTTTAAAATAAAAGCAAATAATCAAAATATAAATAGTTTTAAAAGGGATTAGATACTACTGAAAAGTTTTAATTTCTTAGAACTGTATTCTCTGAAAGAATTTTTTATGTCTTCTGAATTAACATTTGTAAAATAAAACCTTAAATTTTCACATATGTTTTGTAAACAAAACTGTATACAAGTTTCCCAAAAATGTTAATAATTATTGTTTAAAAGGCAATAAATTATTCCAACTTATGAAATTTTGTGCATTGAGAAAATTGTTAAGCAGCTAAATGGCTCCTACAAATGTTTTCTTATGAGCTACGGTGAAGGAAATAATTTTGTGCATTATGAAGGCCAGATCTGTGCTTGTTGGAAAAAATGCAGTACTATACAGGAGATTAAAACGATAAAACGTTTAAAATTAAATTCCCATTTACTTTTAATAAGTTGCAAAATGAATTGGAAAAAATTAATTTTTCAACATTATAGTTTGTGTAACTGATAATTTTTAATTGCATTTAACTGAAAGCAAAATTTCTTTGGATTTACATGTCATAATTAAGATTTTATGAGAAATATTCTCATAAAATTTAATTTCTTTATCCTGGCTTAAAGATTGGCCAAATTTGTGTCTTTATTCAATTTGTATGAATGAATAAAAGACATTATAAGGAATAAAAGAGAAGAAAGCAAAGTAGTGTAGGTAAATATGGAAGTGAATAATGATCGATTTTTGAGGTCATTAGATTTTGATAAATAGAATGAAATGTATGTTATGCTTGTGCTAATGCAGTTTGTTTTCCTCATAACTTGGTTGAATATATAACAGTTTATTGATAAATATTATAGGCTAATTCATGTGAAATGAACTTTCTTTTTTAGGCTGTGTTGGTGGTGTGGTAGCATTAGCCAATCCTCTAAGTAAGCAAGTTTGCGAATTATACCAATATGCTATGGATGGGAAACATGATGAAGCCTGTAACCTGCAGCATAGACTTATTGGACCTAATTTATGTGTAAGTAATAGTATTAGCACACATGTTTATTTGTATTGGAATAATATATTCATTGCACGCCACGGCATGCAATGAATTGGAAGTTGATCTGCCAGCACTATCCTTATTTTCAGAGCAGATGTTTTTATTTTATTTTATTTATTTTTTTATTTTATTCATTACTAAATGTAGTATTTCATCTCGATGTGCTCCATCTTTGATATGATTGGCGTGCAATGAATTGGAAGTTGATCTGCCAGCACTATCCTTATTTTCAGAGCAGATGTTTTTATTTTATTTTATTTTATTCATTACTAAATGTAGTATTTAATCTCGATGTACTCCATCTTTGATATGATTTAAATCAAATTCCTTGTCATTATAATTTGCTTCTGATATTGAAGAAAGTGACACAGAGATTATTGAAAACGAAAAAATTTCGATTGAGAAATTAGTCGGTATTCTCGACACAGCAATTATAGTACTTGAACAGCGGAACTTGTAAATGACAAGAAATTATGTCGTGTATAGAATTAAGAGAAAGTATATCACATAAAACGAAGCAACTAAACAACTTACATTGAAAAGAAATGTTTAATAAAGTAAACAAATAAATATTAAGCTTCTTTTTTTTTTTTTTTTTTTTTTTTTTTTTTTTTGTAAATTTTGATACCCTTAGATCATTTGTTCTTTTTTCATAAATTATGGTTTTATATTTTAATTTTATAATTTCTGCATGCCATCTTACCAGATTTAAACTGATGATCTATAATCCGGAATCGCCAAAGTCCCGACGAGTCTGGATTAACGACTTTTGACTGTAGTGAAATTAATGTTAATAATCTTTAGCACATTATATTGGATCTAGTTCGCATGCAATTTGCAAGTTAAGTGAATTTGCTGGTCTTACAGGAATATTGATTTTAATCAGCCATGTGTCTAAAA